AAGCAAAAGTGAACTACTGGGACCTCATCAAAATAAAAAGCTTCTGCACAGTAAGGAAACAATCAGCAAAACTAAAAGGCAATCGACATAATGGGAGAAGATATTTGCAAATGACGTATCAGATAAAGGGTTAGTATCCAAAATCTACAAAGAACTTATCAAACTCAACACCCAAAAAACAAATAATCCAGTGAAGAAATGGGCAAAAGACATGAATAAACACTTCTCCAAGGAAGACCTCCAGATGGCCAACCGACACATGAAAAAATGCTCAACATCACTCATCATCAGGGAAATACAAATAAAACCACAATGAGATACCACCTGACACCTGTCCGAATGGCTAACATTAACAACTCAGGCAACAACAGATGTTGGTGAGGATGTGGAGAAAGAGGATCTCTTTTGCACTGCTGGTCGGAATGCAAACTGATGCAGCCACTCTGGAAAACAGTATGGAGGTTCCTCAAAAAACTAAAAATAGAACTACCCTACAACCCAGCAATTGTACTACTAGGCATTTATCCACGGATACAGGTGTGCTATTTCAAAGGGACACATGCGCCCCCATGTTTATAGAAGCACTATCAGCAATAGCCAAAGTATGGAAAGAGCCCAAATGTCCATTGATGGATGAATGAATAAAGAAGATGTGGTATATATATACAATGGAGTATTACTCAGCAATCAAAAAGAATGAAATCTTGCCATTTGCAACTACATGGATGGAACTGAAGGGTATTATGCTAAGCAAAATTAGTCAGAGAAAGACAAAAATCATATGACTTCACTCATATGAGGACTTTAAGAGACAAAACAGGTGAACATAAGGGAAGGGAAACAAAACTAATATAAAAACAGGGAGAGGGACAAAACAGAAGAGACTTGTAAATATGGAGAACAAACTGAGGGTTGCTGGAGGGGTTGTGGGAGGGGGAGTGGGCTAAATGGGTAAGGGGCATTAAGGAATCTACTCCCGAAATCATTGTTTCACTATATGCTAACTAATTTGGATGTAAATTTTAAAAAATAAAAAAATTTAAAAAAAGATTCTCTCTCTCTCCTTCTGTCCCCTCCCTTACTCACATTCTCTCTCTCTAAAAAAAAACAAAACAAAACAAAACAAAACAAAACAAAAAAACAAAAAAACACCTTTTTTTAAATACAAAATTTAAAAAAATCATATGAAAAAAATACATTTATAGTACTGTTCTATATTTATTGGAACAGTCTGTGTGTAAGTGGACCCACACAGTTCAAACTTGTGTTATTCAAAGGTCAACTGTATATGATGGCCAAGATCCAATTTCCTTTCTGTGAAACCTAAATTCTTTGGGTTTTCTTCATCAATCAGGCATAACTCAATAGATCAAAATCAAGGAATGAGAAGGAGGATGAGAATAATTCTGAACATGATTTTAAGGAGATTAATATGATGGTGCAGTCAGTGTGTCAGTGACAGGAATTATGAACTGATTCCAAACTTTGGACATAAAAAATCTTACCCTCTTATGTATGTGCTTATTAGGAGCCCACAATTTCAGAGCATTGTTCTCAGTATGAGGACATATCATAAAGAATAAATATGTTTATTTCACTTAGGAATTTGACAGTCTAATAAGAGTATATCAGTCAGCTTTTGCTGTAGGAACAAACAATCCCAAAGTCTCAGTGACTTAAAACCAGAAACATTTATACCTGGTCATGTTACATGAGGATGTTGATCAGTTGCAGTTTTTCTGGGCTCAGCTAGGCTCTGGGTTTGACCGGGTTCTGTATGCTACTTCATTCCAGAGCACAGGTTGAAGAAGCA